ATTTAATTTTTATATTTTTATATAAAGGTAAAAATAAAACTTTAAAGTAAAAATTTTCACAGTTACAGAGGTGGACTTAGAGTAAGTTTTAGTGAGTGAAACCCTCTAGTTTCCAATAAAGCTGGTAAAATTCAAAAATTGTTCCGTTTTATAAACTTTTTCTGGTAAAAAACACATTTCAAAGAAGAATCCACAATTAAAAGTCATTTTTCATTATAAAAAGAAATCAGTAAAGCCAGTTACAGGGGTGGATTCAGACTAAATTTGCTAGGGGAACCTCACTGCTTGGAAACAAAAGTAATAAAACTTCAAGATTATTTCTTTTTAATAACTTTTACTTTTATAAAAGTAATTTTATATGATGAAGTGACAACACCACAATTGGAAAAGCAATTTTGTATGGGGTAGGTAACTGTTAAGTCCGGCCCTGCTTAAGTATTTCGTTTAAAAATGTATTTTTTATGTCTTACACCTACCCATCAAGATCTTACATGTACCTATCCATTACATTCAACGGCTTTTGTCGATAATTATAGAAAATAAATTTTTTTTAGACTTTAGTCCCATTATTGAAAACTGCAGCTCAAAAAAATAGTGACAAACCCATCGGTAGTCAAAGGGCAGCTATTATAAATATGTCTTCTATATTAGGATCAATTTCAGAAAACAATACAGAGGGCCTGTACCCTTACAAATGTTCCAAGGTAGGTAACAATCCCATAATGAGTAATTTCTGTGATAACACCGATGTTGGGTTACGTTTATGATAGGTTGGGTTTGGGAACGCTAGGTTTTGTGATGTTGGATCAGATTTATCGATTTATTTATTTTTTATTTTTACTTAGGCTGCTCTTAACATGGCTACAAAGACTTTATCAAACGAATTAAAGAATGATAACATAGTGGCGACCAGTATTCACCCAGGATGGGTAAAAACAGACATGGGTGGACCCAAAGCACCCTTAGATGTTGATACAAGCGTTAAAGGCATCGTTGATCTTATTCTGACCCTCAGTAGTGACCACAATGGGGGGTATTTTCAATACAATGGTAAGGCATTACCATGGTAAAAAAATAAAGTATTAATTAAGTATAAATACAATTCTTTTTTTGTAATAATTATCCTTAATAAATAAACTTTATATTATCGTTAGTTTGTGTTTATTTGTTTGCTTCTTTATATGTTGGGCGTCATACAAAGCATAGTCTTAGAAAATAAACAACTTTTTATTTTGTTTAGTTATTTAGTTTGATAGAGAGAAAAACTACAAAGAAGAACGATGAATTGTAATATCAATATACCTAAGAAGGGACAGAAAAATGAGCAAAAATGTAATTATTAATCATTTGGGTCACTATAGCCGAATATGATTGCTTGAGAATCAGTAATAATAAACGATATGTCATTTTAAACGGAGTCATTATATCCAAACTTTCCTATAGAGAATTTAATATGAAAACCAAACTTACCACTGCAATTACTTCATATTAAGCGGTTGGTCGATACAGGCGGAGTCATAATAAACGAATTCCACTGTACCTATATAAAACTTTAATAATAAGACCAATACTACCATATGGGTCACCACAATTGTCCTTTTCGTATTGTCCGCATTTTGTAAAAAAGGTTAAATTAAACTTAATTAATTGTGACGAGAATTTTTGAACTATGTCTACCTGTACTCCTGTTTCTGCTTCTAATATGTCCCTAAAAAGGCCCTTCTTATCTGAAAATGTATCCTACCAACCTATCTAATCCTATTAAATAAAATAACAGTTATTAAGAACCAAATGTAATGTAATATCCAAGTATTGACACTATAGACGCTGACCTTGCTTTTCTCATTCGACAAAATCAAACCGTTAGCATATGTTATTTAAATTAGTCCATAAATAACCGAGTCCGTCGCATTAATTAAAGTTTTTACAACTACGCATGCTTCCAGTAACGATAGATAAGAAAATCGCGTAAACAAATAAGTCTCTAAAACTTTATATTATTTATATTTTATATTATTCCGTTATCATTCACAATTGGTTCGTTGCTCATTTTGAAAAGTCATCCTCATTGGAATAATGATTAAATCAATTTTAATTACCGGCTCCAATCGGGGACTGGGACTCGGGTTAGTGAAACAATTGTTGAGCATTCCAAATCCACCTGACAAGATAATAGCGACATGCAGAAATTTAGAAAACGCCAAGGTAAGAAACGAAACAGACCGTCTGACGTGTGTACTACGTTATCACTTACTTAATTAAATGATAATATTTCATGCAATTCATTACTAATTAATTAATAATGACGCAATATTGTACAGGATGTCAGATAGTTATCATGAGGTTTATCATACACATTTACGTAAAACATTGTCATAATTAAATTAAAAAGAAATTTGTTCATAGTTTTAAGGGGTATTGTAAATTTAAAAAAGTTTTATAATTTTTTTTTACTTTTAGGAGTTGCGTGAAATAGCCAATAAGCATAAAAACGTTCATATTTTACTATTAGGTGAGTACAGAACTAAAATTACATATACAGGGTGTCTAAATAGTGTAAGTTTTAGTTTGTGTTCAATTATATCAACATAAGTACACTACTTTTACTCTTTTGCTTACATTTATTTCCAATTTTTATAAAATTATTGTATGACCTCTTTGCGATACCCTTTATAAATCGTCTGTGATAATAAAATTTAATAGTTTTACATCATGGTTTTGAAGTTTTATATTTATATTTCGTAACTGTATATACTTTACATAAAATTGTAGCAAGTGTTAGATCTTGACAAGGCTAAGTCTAAAGTTTTATATATTTATCTGTCTAACTTATTAAATACAAAAGTTTCACACAGTATTTTATGATATAATAATTTCTGTTATTTTAATAAAAAAATTTGTTGAAGTCTCATTAAAAAAATCGGTCACAATTAGTAATATTTTTAAAGACATCTTCCATAATTTGACTAAAAATCCTTACACATTTTACTATTATGAGTTGCTAAAGAGATATTTATTACTAATTACTAGTAACTATCCCATAAAAAAATAAATAAAAAATATTACGAATTTGTGATTCTCAAAATGTGTAATTACAACCATTAGAAATATCTAATAATCGAATTTGAATTCAGATGTTACAGATTTCAACTCCTATGACGATTTTAAGCGTAAACTTGAAAATATTTTGCAAGATGATGGCTTAAATGTTCTATTCAATAATGCTGGCACTTACCCCAGGGTGACTAAATTAGAGTTGCTCAATTCGTCGCACCTTGTGAACGCCTTTGTGACGAACACTGTGGCACCAATAATGTTAACAAAGGTCTGCAGTTTTAATAATTATTACTTCTAATAAAAAACACCCCTAACCACCACCTACCCGTTCCCACGAGTCCTAAAAGGAAGCTGAAAAATTCTCTTCTCATTTCAAATTATCCGTCTCATCTTTCCTACCCCAACCACCGTCAACCCGTTCCCAACGAATCCTAAAAAGAGTCTAAAGAATTCTTATCTGTCTTCAACAAGTTTGTCTTTCTCACCTCAATCACCACCCAGTCGTTTCCACGAGCCCTAAAAAGTGGCTGAAGGATTTTCATCTGTGTTCATTAAGTTTGTATCATCTTTCTAGTTTCAAACACCACCGAACCGTCCCTACGAATTCTAATANATACATATTAGTTTTTATTCACCTTTTTTTAATACTCCAATAAACGACAAAATATATTGAATTTCATTTTTTATCTGCTCTAGGTTTAATCTTAATTGTTATTGTCAAACATACAGGGTGTTTTTTTAATAAGAATTTATTGAAATAAAGAAAATTTGTTTCTTTCCGTTTAAATTCATTTTTAGAGCTAATAAATATATACAGGGTGCCTCATTAGTAATACAACTGTAATGTTGAAATTAAAGATATTTATACATAGGCAATGTCACTGATTTGTTTTTAAACCACTAGGTACAATATGTAGAAATTCTTGATAAAACAAACGGAATTTTTAGTTTCTTTAACGTGCTCTATTTAAAAGTATATTTTTCTAGTTATATACTGGATGTTGTGTAAAATTTATATGAGTAAAGTCTTACATACATCCGCGTAAGTGTTGAAAAGTTCCGCGTTCCATAAAAACGTAGAACTGAATAGAAAGATAAACATTTTCAAAAAAAGGAAAAGTAAAAAGCACAACATAAACGCTATTTTTTAATACGTAAATAAAATATTTGCTATGATGTACTTTTTATATGCAGGACATAGAGAACAGTAAACATATAATTTTTTTTTAATTATAATAATGATTGTAACCGAGTATTTTATGATAATGTAATACCTAGTTTGTTATTTGTGTCTATTGTTATGCATAAACATAAATTCATTATTTATCTAAATCTACATATTACCTATTACCTTTTGTAATGTAATAAAGACCTTGAACTTAACAATTTTGGTATTTTTTATATTCGTATCTATAAAAGCGAGCGCAGTAAAAGTTTTAACCATAAATTTATTACAATTGTGAGCGATTCAAGTATTTTTGGTACTGCTGGACTTTAAAAAAGATAAAAAATAAGTTTATAACAAAAGCAAATTGAGACTTACTCATTTTTTCTTTACTTTCTCTCACGAACCTTGAAGTGCACAAGCAACAGCTCATTTTGTTAATGGGAATGCAATAAGTTTAACACAAAAATGTTTAGATAACAATGTGATAAAACTTGATTCGTAATTAAACCTAGTCGCAATACTTCCAGATAAATCTTTATCTTTCCATATCATACGTACATCACAAAAGAAAAACTGATCAAATATCGCATCCGTTTTTACCGATTTTAATTTGAATATGTGACTCATTTAGTTTTGATCAAATACTTTTCAAACAGACTGTGAACGAAACGTAAGACATGTTAGAAATAAATTGCAATTCATTCTCTTCATCGCCAAGGCGATTAGAAAGGAAATTAAATTAACATTTCGTAAATGCCTCTGTTGCTTCGTCAAGCCGCAAGCTTGAAAAAAGGAAAGATAAGATATTACTTTCTGTTAGATAAATATCAATTCTAGTAATAAAAAGTAATTAGCAGGATTGTCTGATAATATACAAAAGAAAAGATAAAATTGTTCAAGTACTTGCGACGCTATTATTTAACAATTAATTGTGCTTCGTACTAATAAAACATTAAAACCCTAATTTCGTATTCAAGTATCTGATAACTGTTAAAGAGAAGATAACAGATATGATAAGAAAAAATTAGAATATATATTTTTATATTAGGTAATTTGTCCATCCGGAAGCAGGTATGATGATGTTAATTTCCCTTTGATTCATAGTTTTATTTCAGCAAAAAAGACCAATGACATAATCAAATTAAGATTGTGATTCTATCAGTAAATACCTGTAAATTTGCTATAAAACGTAGTGTAAAATTATATAGACAGTTATGCTAATTAGTATCTATATGAGGAAATACCGGATAATTAATTAGATATTAGATGATATTATTCATTCATAAATTATAATATATCTATCTTCGTAATTATTTTGAAATTTTTGTACTTTATTTTGCAAAAAATTAAACGTAAACTGTTTGTTTGTTACTTAAAAAGTCTAAATTTTGTTAGATACAATAATTTATACAAAATCTAGAACAAATAGTT